CCTTGGCATGCGCACCTATCAATGCACCATCGAAAAAAAAGACAAAAAATTAGCAGAATTGGTCGTCTTATCGATAGATTCGAACCTTCGATTTAATGCACAACCAAGCTGTTTTCCACTGCGCCATACCCGCCACCAAACGTAGTTTTAATGTCAAAATAGTTTGTACATTACAGATCTTTAAAACTACCATGTAAATTATCCCATTTTGCTTAACAGGTCCAACTGAAAGAAAATTACCGTTGATGTCGAAATTTTCCTTAAAAAAAGAGGTAATTTCGAGGAATGTTTCGATGATGGCAAACAGCGGTCTTTTTGGATTTGTTCCAAAAAATTTTATGAATACCAATTAAAAATAGTCTATTTTTGTGTAATAAGTGTATTCATATTTATCAGTTCTTTTTTCACATACTAAACTTTTTCAATATTTTTCATGCACTGCTGAACTGTTTACTTTCGGCGTAAAACTGCTCTATTCTTTAAAAAAAAAGCATGGCAAGAAATGCAGTAGTCCATCCGAAATCCACAAATTTACACGTCCCAAAAAATGAGGATATTGAGGAAAATGGGGGCAAATCCCAGCAAATTGGGAATATTACCTGTCGAAAGCTTGACTTTAACACTTTTACGATGTATCTATAAACAGCATTTGGCGCAAAGTATATCGGGAGACTTAGCAAGTCTGGAAAAAGAAGCATTTAGGATTTGAAACCACATGCAACTTTTTGGCTAAATTAAAGATATTTTAGCCACTGCGCTAGCGGTCCTTCTGTACAAAAAGAAAGTTAAAATATTCAGATAAGTGTAAAATTATGTGAACAACATATTAGTACCAAATCTACAATAAAAAAACAGCACAGCCTTAAAACAATAAGCAACTGGAGCAAAAACCTGAAATTTGGGATGAAATGAAATTATGGCTTCTGGCAGAATATAACAGAATGCAGATGCATCACATAAAAACACAGTAAATCCCCTCATTAACAGTTAATGAACAGTAGTTAAAAGACAAAAACCCGTGTAAAAGTACAGAGCCGAATTAGTGCAACAAATGAACAAAGTTGTGAAAATAGTGGCTGAGGCAGTGATGTATCTAAAGCAGAGCAAAAGGGATGAGGAAGCGGGGCACGAGTCGTTTTCGACCCTAAATTATTCAAAAAAACATCAAAGAGGACGGAATACATGGCAGCTCGAACTCAAAAAGCAAAATTTAACCGGGCGGACATAAAAATAGATAATGGGAATGCAAAAAACCTTATAAATCAGGGCATAATATTTGGTCGGATAAATAGTAAAATCAATTAAAGAAAACTGAATTTTGCCGAGGCGGAAAAAACTAGATTCATAAAAACCAAATAATCGCCAGGTCGGCACAAATTTCGAAAAGGACGCTAGAAGTCTGATTTTGTCTCATCGGAAGCGAGATAGGCTAGAGTTGAAAAATATACAAAAATTGCCTAACTTCCGATGAGACCTGAAACTAATTCGTGGATTATTCGAAAGGAACATCATGGATGATCATGATATTACAAGACGGATTTAACCATGGGAATAAAATTCGAAACAAATTTATCAAAAAATAGCAAAAATGTTGACCGTAACTTGATGTTTTGAAAGATTCTTATCACAACTGCGGCCGACTCTGA